ACGGATTTTGATCGTCGAGATTTTGGGCCCTTACATGTTGCCGATCCAAAAAGAAAAAAGTAAAGTTTATCTTTAATAATAAGAATTTTAAACAATTTCATGTCTGCTGATCATTATGATTTACCGAAATTACACCGACCGGATGTACCTTATTTTAACTTAAAATGAAATTTATAATAAAACCGATCTCATAATCTCATTTTAACCATGCTGCCGATAAATGAAATCCAATCATTCAGATTATGATAACAATTAGTTGGAAAATCCGATTTAATATTTTTTTTCAATGGGTTCAAATTTTCAAAAAAGTAATTGCTTTAAACGCCAACCAAATTCCTGCATAGGTGCATTTCTGACGAATAAAATCATGTGACAAGACAGGCAATGAACATTATGTATGAAGCGCTGTAATGCTCGAGTAGTTACCCTGGATGCATTCAGGGTACTTGGGATTTAAAAAGTCTCAGGTACTACCCACATCCAGGTTAGTACCTGGGCTTACTGATCAAAAATCTCTTGGATAGATCCCTAGTTTACCCTAGATACATCCAGGGTTCTTCATATATAAGGCTATTTGAAGTCATTCGTATTATTTTATGGTGGAATAAATTTCTCGTGACTAACATTATATTATTATTACACTAAAATACTTTGCAAAAATTCCAAAATTTTGTATTAGCATTTTAATATGGTAAATTTATTAAAAACTAGTAATATGATAGTCTACTAACAAATATAGGCTTATCACTTCCTTTTGTCTCCCATCACTCCTTTTTATCTCCCATCATGTCCTATTTCTCTTTTTTGTTTCCTATCACTTCTCGTTACTCTTTTTCATCTTCTATTACTTTCCATTATTTCATTTTTTTACTAGCATCTTTCTTCTTGATCATTGTAATTTACTTATCTTTTTTATTTATTGTTATTGTTTCTTTATTTGTACCACTTCATTAAAAATAAATTATTTGCAAATAAAATTTCATAAAATAAGGTTATTTTGAATAAATATGTTTGTAAAAAAAATTTCATAAAATAAGGTTATTTTGAATAAATATGTTTGTAAAAAAAATTTTTTTAAAAAATATCTTTTGCAATAAAATTTTAAGTTTAACCGATCAAAAATTAGCTAAGTTAAAAAAATCAGCCTTAATAAATTTACTCTATATATTGTACATCATGTGACATATTTGAAAAAAAAACCCGGGCGATGATCGCCCAGGCGACGTTTAGCAATCCCCGAGATAATCGTGTATTTTTCCTAAAAAAATTTCCTAATTCTTAGAAATTTTACACAATTCTAAATTAAATTTTTTACCTCTGAGAATCACTCTTTTTGGAATCAAAACTTAAAAATTCAATAAATAAAACCATGTCGCGATTGTCGCGATTGTCTTGTCAAACAATTTTTTGATTTTATATGCTTTAAAATTGTTTAATGATAATTCAATCATATCAATGATTATTATTATTTACAGGTTTCATAGTTTTTTTTTGATAAAAAGAAAGTACTGTCCGCTCCACTTTCTTCCAATATTCAACGTGTTGCTTAATTTGAAAATAACAAGCCACAGTTTTCATTCTAATTCTCAGGAGTATAAATTTAGAATTGTGTAAAATTCCTAAAAATTAGGAAATTTTCTAGGAAAAATACATGATTATCGGATAAAGTAAGTCTCGAGTCTCGACTTCATATAAAAAAGTTATTCTGATACTGGATATACTAGTATAGCATTTAAATTTAGTTAGTAATTCATTATCGAAAACTGTTAATTCATTTATTATTACTTCTATAATATTAATAATGAAGGTATTTTCTATTTTGAATGTTTTTTTAAAATTTTTAACTATTAAATCCATTTTGATTCTCAGGAGGAAAAAGCGTATCAGATACGGTGTGTAACAATCATAATGCAGATCAATAAAAAATTTATGGTCGGGTTTTCCGTTCTCACGATATTTGGGATTCGGGATATACAATAAAAAGTTCGGTAAGTAAAATGAATTACTAAAAGATAACCGTAAAGTTAGTTTAATTTATAATTAGAAGGAAACTTTAATTCAATAAATGATATACGTGATACGAAATTTTGTTATCATAACGCAAGTAAAAAGCGTTATTTATTTCTCTCGCGCAAAAAGTTATCGACTCCCTTCAAAAGTCTATATTAAATTAAAATTTTCGATATTTCATTTTACTTACTTTTATTTCTCCATATCAAAAAACTATGTATCAAGGATCCATTCTATTGGTATCATTTTATATTATTTATATTTTAAAGCGTGTTTTCTAAATAATATTTTACAATTACATAATACTACTAATCAAATTACGTAAAGGACTACGTAAATATTCTAAAACTTTCTAAAACTTTCTACAAATTTCTTTTTACTAACAAATTATTAATAGCCATATCACTATGTCTTATGGGTGTCGGAATAAATAATTCATTCTATAAATAAATATCAATACAATCAAAAATACAATCAAATAGTAAACAATAAAACAATTATTTTTAAATAATAAAGAATTTAATCAATAAATTATATATTAACTGTTACGCAATTTACGGTTGACCGTATTTGACTAAGTGTGGGAAAATGGGCATAAGAAAAGAATGGTCGTTGTTTATATATGACATATTTTTTATTTATCTTGATGTTGCGTATGAGGCTATTTATTCTTACTGTTATCTGGCTAGTATAGTATCATTCTAAGAAAAAAATTTCAAAATCATACCAGAAGCAAGGAAATCTCGATTATGCAATAGATTGTCGTTTGACTAATAGGGATCATTGGTTTAGTGGACGACTTTAAGCAGGGTTTCGCACAGGCTACTGACCATGCAGATGGAATCATCATTGACGTACCATAAACACAACAAAGTATGATGGATTGTAACAGATGCGGCGGAAAAATGGTATTTTATGGAATGTACACTAGACAGTGAAGGGAAACTATCGTTTAAGTTGTCGGAACAAGTGATCATTGTGTACAAAGATGATAATATGCAAACCAAGTGTGATCGGAGCATCGGACGTATTGTATGGCTGCTGGAGGAGGCGCAGAAGCCTGTGGACAATTCAGATAATTATTAGTTATTAATCAAAATAATTATTCGACTATTCTTTATTACATTAACAAGATTGACAAAAATTGAACATAGTACTAAGTATTATAGAATTCTCCATATTCACATCATGTGATTACTTAATAAATAAATAAGGTATGAATATTTCTTGCATTTGAAACCGTAATTGCCTTTAAACAGTAATGATATTAGGATTTGATCATTTGAGCGTAATATAATCCATTGTATGGTCAATCCGGATATATTAATCTATTCTAAATTACATTGTCAAACTTGTACACCTACATTATTTATTAGAATAACATTTATATGTTAAGGGAATCTAAAAATTAAAACTTATTTGTACATTGCATAATTTTCATAAATGAAGGAGATAAGGAGATATGTTGTAATTAATCTTAAACGATTTAACTAAATATATATATATTTTTTTTTAAAAAAAAAAATGAAAAGTGATAAATTAGTCAAATAATACAATCTCTATCATACCAAATTATTCTTCTAATTATTAAATATTTTGTATCCGTCTAATTTGTTGAAAAATTGAAAAAGGATTTATAAAATATATCAAATCAAAGAAGCAAATTAATCAATTAATAAATTCGTTGACATTAAAATTAAAAGAAGTAAATTACTAAATAATATCGTATATTCGTATTCATTAAATTTTTACAAATCTCATGAAAACTTTATATTTATGTTAATATTTTAATACAAATAACAAATAAACCCGAATATGATGATTTATAACAGAAAAATGTCAAACATAAAGAAAATATTCAAGCACAAATTTTATACTTTGGTACAACGTGGACGTCAGTCAGATCACCCACACACACACATATTTTGTCACTTAACAGGCAAAGGGATTCTTCCTCATAGCGTAGTTGACTACCTGTTTTACCTGTTCATTTTCTTTCAGCAGGACAATAAATCCAAAACAAACTATTAACATATGTTGTGACTTTTTCGTTATCGTATTTTTGGATAGGTATACAAATTAATAACGCATATATAAAAATAACAAGAATTAAGTATATAAAAGTATAAGAAATGTGAAATAATAAAAATTACGTGACTATTCATATGAAATGTGAATGTATAACCCATAAAGTCATTTACTATATTCACAATTAAAAGAAATATTTAATTATTACATTAAATGCAGTATCTCTAAAACTTTTAAAATAAGATTTAAAAAATTTTAGGAAAACGTTTTGGTGGTTTACTTTTTATTTTTATGAAAGTTGGTTAAGTTGATTTTTTAGATATAATTGAGTTTGGACATTTTAATAGAATTAAAATAAAAAAATAATATATTAAAAATTAATTTTTGCTTTTAATTTATTTTTTATTATTTAATTTACATGCTTTTATTTTTATAAGCGCATTTAAGAAAAAATATATAATAATTTTAAGTAAATTAACATATTTCTTAGTCATGATTTCATTTTTACGAACTATACAGTAGGTATCAGATAGATAATATCGGAATAAAAACTTATGGTTTTCGTGATAAATTTACAGAACATTCCCATGATTTTTTTTTTTTTTTTTGTATTTCGTTTAAAATCAATTTGGACCCGAACCGGTCTGGAATTAATAATTAACCAGTCTGAGCCGGGAGCCCGGGCTGGTCAGGTTTTAAGAACTTCATTTTAGCTTTATAATTACTTATATGATAATAGCTAGGGAGTGTTGGCTATGTAGTGTTGGTTATAAACAAGTCACATGATCTTGCGTCACAATACAGTAGGCCTTTCCTTATTTGGTAATAAATAATAGTAGTCTGTATGGTACACGTGTGAATCGTGTAACACCCTAAGCTAGGATCGCGTCATATTTTGCTGACAAATTCTAATTTTAATGAAATTGCGACATTTTTGATTATTATTGAATTTTTCCTAATAGTATACCATTATTGATACCTTCTAGTTAGTTCCATTATATTTTGTTATTATCAATGTTGTATTAATAATCAAATTGTTTTCTAAAGTATAAAATAAAGGACGAATTCTTGAGTAATTGAGTAAAAAAAATAAATATATCAACTCATTATGAGCAATTCACCATTCCATACCGTAACTATTGCTGGAGCCACCGGAAATGTGGGTTATGCTATCGCCGAAGCTTTTTTAAATGATGGGTCTTATAACGTAAAGATTCTTCGAAGAAAACTAGATGAAAATGAGAAAGCCAAATCTTTAAATTCCAAAGGCGCGGAAATTGTATATGCTGATCACAGTCAAAAAGATGATCTCGTAAAAGCTCTTAAAGGAACTGACGTTTTTGTTAGTGCTGTATTTGAATCAAGTAATAATACGTCCTTGTATGATATTCAAGTTTCATTTTTACTTGCTGCCAAAGAAGCTTCTGTTAAAAGGTTCATCCCATCCGAATTTTCCAACGGCTATAAGTACGTTTTTATTTATTTTTTTTTTTGTTATGGTAAAGACAGTATAAAAACATTTAGGTTAATTTATTTATCATTTTTATAATTAAAGAACTACAGGTCATGTATTTAACGATGAGAAGTTCAGATTTCGAGAGGAATTAGAAAAAAGTGGACTTGAATACACTTACATTCACACTGGATTATTCCAAGAATTTTTTGGCTGGTTTGGATATGATGTTAAGAATAAGAAAGCAAAGTTCTACGGGGATGGAAACACAAAGATACCCTCTACTTCTTTATCTGATATTGGAAAATACACAGTTGAGACACTTAAAATACCAGAAGCTCGAAACGCTCATATTAGAGTTATTGGTGCATACTTAACATTAAATGAGTACCTTCAAAAGTTTGAAGAAGCTACCGGTAAGAATTTTTTTTTTTTTTTTTTGAATACTTTTTTTTTAAAAAAATTATAATTTTAAAATCTTGTAACATTTATGAAGGTTCAAAATGGGAAGTTATTGAAGATAGAGATGTACGATATCGCTTCAAAAATAAGATCGATCCAATTCCCTCAATGTCTGATGATTTCATAGCTTTTGTGACGGAAAATTCGAATTTTCCAGAATATGATAATGATAAATTCAGTTTTACTCCTCAACCTGTCACCAAGGTTATTGAAACTCTTGTTAGCCAAGCGTAAAACACTATGATTTATCATATGAAAATTTATACATAGTAAACATATGACATAATATGATTATCCATTGTAATATTCATAAACGTTCTTGTATTTATTTTGATTTTAAATAAATAGAAAAAAAATAATTATATTTCATTAAAAAAATCAACATTTCCTGTGTATATTTTAAATTCGATGATGAAAAATTTTTAAATTAAACGAGTAACGACTAACGAGTATATTCTAATAATACATTTTATGTATTCTGCTCAATAATACTGTAACGTACCATAATTTAATTAACACATTTCAATCATTTTATCCATCAATTACCATTAAAATATACTTAAATATATCTCATTTAATTTAAATATATACAATTGTACAATATGCACATTGTATAATAACAAAATAAATTTCACCTCCAATAAGTACACGTGATTATTTCAAATCACATGATCAAATCTATTTTTGTCTTTAATGTTTGTGGCAGGTTCCGTACAACAAGCCACAAATGATCAACGCTATAATAAACATAGCATAACGTTTAATATTCTTTTGTCGTACTTTTCCGGAGAATAAATGAATAAATTTTAATATATTACAAATTATTATTATTATTATTTTCCTTTTTATTTTATTATTAATAAAAAAAAAAAAATGTCAAAATTAAACAGAGATGTTTTTTATATGGTATTGCATGAATTACAAGATGATAAAAAAGCTCTTTATTCATGTCTTTTAGTTAATAAAACTTGGAGTGAAATAATTATTCCAATTTTGTGGAAAGATCCATGGAAATATTTAAAGAAAGGAAATGAAAAATCATTATTAAAAGTTATAACAACAAATTTATCATTAAATTCAACTTATAATATTATAAAAAATTCATATCAAAAACCTTTATTTGATTATATTAGTTATTGTAGACATTTAAATTTATATGAAATTAGGAGAATAATTAATACTATAAATGAAGATTCTGAAATGATAATTTTTAAAGATGAAATATTAGGAATTTTTATTAATGAAAATACAAAATATACTCATCTTTATATACCTTATCAATTTGATAATCAAATACATCTTATTCCTGGAGCAAAACATTGTTTTTCAGAACTTAAATTTCTTCGTTGTAATACAAGTATAAATGATAATGTTTTATCTGGATTAACAGAAATATGTAAATCAATTAAAGAATTGGAATTATTCATTAATGTACATAATAATAATTATGGTATCGTTAAATTAATAGAATCTCAAAAAAATTTATTTGATATTCGATTTATAACTTATTCTCAAAATATGGATGGAACATTTTGTAATATTCTTGAAAATTCATTGAATAAACATTCTAATACTATTCAATATTTTAAGATGACTACACCTCCTACCACAAATATACTTTCATCTCTTATAAATTTAAAAGAATTAGAATTAAATGGTAATAAAAATTGTAATTTGGAAGATTTGGGGAATTTATTTTTACCATTTTTACGTATATTAAGAGTTAGTAACATTCAAGTTGAATATTTAACAAATTTAATTAAGAATACAAATGGATATCTTATTGAAATAAAAATAGATAATATAAATCATGATGATATTAATAATAAAAAAATTATTAAGGCTATATATCAAAATTGTCCAAAATTAAAATATCTTAAATTATTACTTAAAAATAATAATATATTTGAATTAGAAAAATTATTAATTGAATGTCAAAATTTAAATGGATTATATATTCTTACTGATTATTATATAGATACTATATTTTATTGGAATGATTTATTTGAAATTTTAACTACTTCATCACCAAAAAGTTTATTTAAATTTAAATTTAATTTTAATTCTAGTAAACCAATTAAATTAGAATCATTAAAATTATTTTTTGATAATTGGAAAGGTAGAAATCCTATGTTATTACAATTAAGTAATAGTTATTATTGTATAAATAATGGTGATATGAAAAAATATATTGATCTAATTAAAAAATATAAAGTAGAAGGTATAGTTAAAAAATATAATAATGATTGGTATGGACGTACTTATAAAGATTTTGAATGGTTTTAAAAAAAATTTTAGTTATTATTTTTTTATTAGGATTATGTAGACTATTAGTTTTTTTTTTTTTAGTATAAATAAAACATATAATATTGGGATTGTATATATGTATATGTTAAAATGAGTTTTTATCAGATATCTTAATAATATTTTCATTAAACTGACCATGTGATCAGTATTTTGGTACTGTAATCTATAAATTTCATATGTATTAAATTATTTTTACTTACTATAATTTCAGTAGTGATGTGTGCTGTCTGTGCATGTGCACGAACAATATGTCTATTTACCGCAATAATGGGAGCGTCCTAAAATAATATTTGCAAGTAGATTTAGATACTAAAATATCAGTACTGTAAAAAACTGTTCAAGAATTTACTTATGTCATATGAGTTCTTTCATTGGTATCCAATTAATTTTACGCAGTAATTATTAACAAATTATGACTCATTGTTTTAGCTACTTGCATACTTATTATTTTATAAAATCGTTCATTCAAAATACATGTTTCTGTCTTTTACTATTAAACGTTAATACTTTCTTCCTTTTTCCTTCTATCTCGTTCTTTCTCATTCCCTATTTCTTGTCCTTTCCCGTGTGTGTGTCTTCTCGTCCATTATATATATTATTCTATTACAAAAAGAAAGAAGAAAAAAGAAAAAAATCGTGATTGATGACTGTAAGATTCGAACTCACGCCTCTTTCGAGACCGCAACTTGACTGCGGCGCCTTAGACCGCTCGGCCAAGTCATCTATTTATGTAAATACATAAAATTTATTATATAAATAATTTCTTTCCATAATTAGATTGCACAATGCATGATTGTTTAATTTGATGATTTTATTCAATTTTATACTATGGTATCTTTAATAATTAGATTAGGAAAATATAGGAATTTAAAAAAGAATAATATTATAATTAAAGTATTAAGCTTTATAGACTTCACAATTAATATATTTTTATACTAATCTGTGTGTGTCTTTTCGTACATTATATATATTATTCTATTACAAAAAGAAAAAAAAAAAAGAAACAAATCGTGATTGATGACTGTAAGATTCGAACTCACGCCTCTTTCGAGACCGCAACTTGACTGCGGCGCCTTAGACCACTCGGCCAAGTCACCTATTTATGAAAATACATAAAATTTATAATATAAATAATTTCTTTCCATAATTAGATTGCACAATGCATGATTGTTTAATTTGATGATTTTATTAAATTTTTTACTATGGTATCTTTAATTAGATTAGGAAAATATAGAAATTTAAAAAAGAATAATATTATAATTAAAGTATTAAACTTTATAGATTTCACAATTAATATGTTTTTATACTAATAATAAATCAATATTACATTTTAACATTATCAGATCTTTTAACATTTTTTATTTTTTTTTCATTTTAATAACATTCCTTGCTTTTCTTTTTAAATCATCCAGCAATATACTATCAAATAATGGTTTTCAACAAATTAATAATAAAATTCTTTTCATTACTCTTATTATTTATTTAAACCAAACAGTATATTTCTAAATTTTTCAAATTAATAATCCTCATTATCATGATATTATCCCCAGTTTTTTAAGAAATAAATGAAAAAATTTTTTTTTGGTTAACGATTTAATAAAAAAAATATAATAATTTTATAATTGTAGCTTCTTAAATACAGACCTACTTAGCAAATTTTAAGAAGGTACATAAGTCAATTTGTTTACTTTATTAATTTATTAAATTGATTTCATATAAATACTGTATAACTAATAAATAATTTGATATTATCTGATTTTTAAGACTATCCATTTGATTTTGAATTATTGTGCAAAGTTTTTCTATAATAAAATTCTGAATGTCAGTTTTATTGCTTTTTGCATTTTTTTGCAAAATTAATTTATCCTTTTTTTTGGAAATAACATCCCAGAATTTGTTCTGAATTTTTTTTTGTCCAGATTTATCTGTTCAGAATTTGTCCAAAATTTTATATTAGACAAGTTCTGGACAAGTTCTGGACAACTTATGAACAAAGTTCAGATATGCCAAATTTTTAAGTATCAAATTTGTAGCAAAAAATAGGCATTTTTTTGGACATTTATTGTTTGTAGGGGTTAGGGATGGCAACGGTCGGTCACGGTCAGTTATCGGTCGGTCATAACCGGTTAAGGGTCTTTGACCGACCGACCATTTTGGCTGACCGTTTTTCTGACCGTTTAACCGACCGTTTAACCGATCACTTTTTTCTTTTTAACAAATTTTAATCAAGAAAAAACGTTAAAAAGTGTAATTTAATCAAAAAAAAAACGTTATTTAACTTTTTTTATTGATTAAATTCGTAAAAAAAGTGTTAAGTGAATAAATATGGCTAAATAATCGGTTAAATGGTCGGTTAAATGGTCAGTCAAACGGTCAGTCAAACCGGTCAGTTAAACGGTCAGTCAGAAGCCTTTGACTGACCGATATCGGTCACGGTCATAACTGGTCATGACTGGTTAATAACCGTGACTGTTGCCATCCCTAGTAGGGGTGTATGGCAAAATATTATTAATTTAAAGTTATAAAAAAGATTTATTTAAATTACAAACTAAGAAACTTGTAAAATATTACTACTCTAGCCTTAGTGTTTAAATAATTCTAAGTAAAATAAAAAAATAAAGAAATATAATACTTGGATGAGCTATAAAAAAAGGAATTATTTAAATTACAAACTAAGAAACTTATAAATATTTTACTACTCTAGTCTTAGTGTTTAAATAAATATAAAAATAAAATAAAAAACAATTTTTGCTGAATACATCACGTCAAATATCACTTAAAAAAATCTATGAATCTTCTAATAATTAGTTAGTTTCATCTGTTTCAATATCTAAATAATTAATAAATTAAAATTAATCCATATAAATAATTTGCAAAATTAGTTTTTTCTTTAGTACTATATTACATACAACATACCTAATTACTTGTATCTTTAATTATACAATCATCCAAATCTTCAGTTATAACAGTAGAAGAATAGCTTGCATGATAAGTTTGTGAATCTTCACTTTCAAGAATTTCATTCAACTTTTTACTATTATTCTCATCTGTTTTAACGATTAAATAAATAAATTAATTTCATATAAATAATTTGCAAGATTAATAAGATATAATTTTTTTTATATATCATAATACATACCTAATGACTCCAAATCCTTAATTATATAATCATCCAAATTTTCACTTACTAATGTTTCATTTACTTTCACACTAGCTTGTAAATCTTCGCTTTCAAGAATTTCATTCAAGTTTTCACTAGTATTTTCATCTAAATAATTAAGTAAATAAATTATCTTCACATAAATAATTTGCAAGATTAAATTTTATATGCACTATATTGTATACCTAATGACTTCAAATCTTTAATTAAATAATTATCCAAATTTTCACTTTCAAGAATTTCATTTAATTTTTTACTAGTAAAATCAAGTAAGCGACTTGTAAAACATGCTTTAGGATGAGATTTAGTAGCAAGCTGCCCAATTGGTGCATTTATAAATTCCATAATGTTGTTTTTTAATTCTTCATTAAATTCATTATTACGAGGACGGAAAATCCAACTAACAAAAGCATCTATTACTTCTGATGTAGATGGTCTTTTTAATGGATCTTCATTCCAACATTTTTTCATTAAATCTACATAACGTTGTGGAGTATTTTCAATAATTTCAGGACGTTCACCTTTACAAATACTTAAACTAAGATGAAGATCATGTGCTCTATTATTAAATGGTGGTATTCCTGATGTAAATTCCCACATAATCATAGCAAAACTATATATATCACTAGCTGGAGTATAAGGTTTGCCTCTTAAAACTTCAGGAGCCATAAATGGTATAACACCATAAATATCATACTTTTTCAAACCCGATTTTACAGGTTGGCATAATCCTAAATCACTAATATAAATTACACTCTCATTATGATTTAAAATATTGCCATCATGAAAATCACAATGAGTAAGCTTTTGATTATGTATCCTTTTAAGTCCAGAAATCATCTTATACAACATAAGTAATTTTTGATTCCAATTATTTTTGACTATTCTTGTTAAATTTTCTCTCAAATTACCTTTATTTGCATAATCCATTACTACCATATATTTTGAAGTATTTGGATCTTTTGTAAATCCATAAAATTCAATAATAGCAGAAGATGAAACTAAACACTTCATATGATATTCCCACTACAAAAGAATAATGATAATTTATTAATATAAATTATAAAAATAAAAAAATAATATATACTATCAATATGTCATACTTCTTTCAAAAATTCATCTAAATTTTCATTTAAATTCTTGTGACATTTAAGAATTACATCTCTATGTTTATAATTCTTTATTAACCAAGTAGCTTTGTATATAATGCCAAATCCTCCTTCATTAAGATATTCAACATTTTTAAATTTGTTATAAGGAATCCATCTTAATCTTTTTTTAAGAATAAAATCATCTATAATTGTATTTCCACTTTTCCCAAATCTATAAATTTAAATAATTAAAATTATATTATAGATTGTATTATAATTTACACTAAAATAATTATTACTTACTCTAAAATTTAAATAGAAATTATATAAGTCTTAGTTTTTTGATAAATACATATAATAACCTATAATTTACAACTTACCAACTAAAGAAATAGATATTTTAAATGAAAAAATTTAATTAAAAATAAATATTATACAAAATATATAACAATAGATACTTACAAACTAAATTATAATATTTTTTAAATAAAGATTTTATTAGTTTAAATTATATAAATAATGATAGAATTAAATAAATAACTTATAACTTACCAACTAAAAGAAATGACAAATAATTATTTAAATAAAAAAATTAGATAGTTTAAATTATATGTAAATATTATAAAAATAAGCAATTAAATAAATAACTTACTCTCTATATTATTTAATAAATTTTTTAAATAAAGAAATTAGATAGTTTATATTATATGTAAATATTATAATAATAAGCAATAATAGAATTAAATAAATAACTTACCAGCTATATTATTAAATAAAGAAATTAGATAGATTAAATTATATGTAAATATTATAACAATAAGCAATAATAGAATTAAATAAATAACCTACAATCTATTAAATAAATAAAGAAATTTGACAGTTTAAATTATATGTAAATATTATAACAATAAGCAATAATAGAATTAAATAAATAACTTACAACCTATAAACTAAAATAAATTACAAAATAATTTTTTAAATAAAGAAATTAGATAGTTTAAATTATATGTAAATATTATAACAATAAGTAATAATAGAATTAAATAAATAACTTACAACCTATATTATTTAATAATTTTTTAAATAAAGAAATTAGATAGTTTAAATTATATGTAAATATTATAACAATAAGTAATAATAGAATTAAATAAATAACTTACAACCTATATTATTTAATAATTTTTTAAATAAAGAAATTAGATAGTTTAAATTATATGTAAATATTATAACAATAAGTAATAATAGAATTAAATAAATAACTTACAACCTATATTATTTAATAATTTTTTAAATAAAGAAATTAGATAGTTTAAATTATATGTAAATATTATAACAATAAGTAATAATAGAATTAAATAAATAACTTACAACCTATATTATTTAATAATTTTTTAAATAAAGAAATTAGATAGTTTAAATTATATGTAAATATTATAACAATAAGTAATAATAGAATTAAATAAATAACTTACAACCTATATTATTTAATAATTTTTTAAATAAAGAAATTAGATAGTTTAAATTATATGTAAATATTATAACAATAAGTAATAATAGAATTAAATAAATAACTTACAACCTATATTATTTAATAATTTTTTAAATAAAGAAATTAGATAGTTTAAATTATATGTAAATATTATAACAATAAGTAATAATAGAATTAAATAAATAACTTACAACCTATATTATTTAATAATTTTTTAAATAAAGAAATTAGATAGTTTAAATTATATGTAAATATTATAACAATAAGTAATAATAGAATTAAATAAATAACTTACAACCTATATTATTTAATAATTTTTTAAATAAAGAAATTAGATAGTTTAAATTATATGTAAATATTATAACAATAAGTAATAATAGAATTAAATAAATAACTTATAACTTACTCCCTATATTATATTTAATAATTTTTTAAATAAAGAAATTAGATAGTTTAAATTATATGTAAATATTATAACAAAAAGCAATAATAGAATAAATAAATAACTTGTAACTTACAATCTATTAAATAAAGAAATTAGATAGTTTAAATTATGTAAATATTATAACAATCAGCAATAATATAATTAAATAAATAACTTATAACTTACCAACTAAAAGAAATTATAAACCATTTTTTAAATAAGAAATTAGTTAGTTTAAATTATATAAATAATATAAATATAGATATCATATACAGTAACTTACACCCTGTATTATTATTAATTAATTATTAATTAGTTAGATATAAAAATAATATAAGAAAGTATTTACTGTAATAAATTATATATATTACTTACAATCTAGTTATTTAAATTAAGAATATAATTAGTTGAATTATATAAAATATTAAACAAATAAATATAGTATATGTATTGTAACTTACCATCTGTAATATAATTAATTATTAAATAGTTATTTAAATAAAGAATTTGATTATTTGAATGTTATAAAATAAATAAAGTAAAGACCTAAAGTGATAACTTACCAACTATAGTATTATTATCATTAGATGAATATTGAGTTACATGAAATATAATAAAATAATAAGTAATTCCATTATTATTCAATTATAAGATAACTTATTAACTTACGAGCTAAATTATTTACATAATATAGATAGTTAAAATTATATTTGTGTATTATATAAGGTAAATTATATATAGTATTTAAATTATTTACAAACAAAATTTAATATCAGCTTGTTCAATATACCTTTAGAAATCTCAGTGCTACTTGTTTCAAATTTTTCAATACTACTGGAAACTAGTTTTATTATATTGCAAATTTATTTAAAATTTTAGAATTCTAATTGTATTGCTATATATTATTATTACCTTTATTGTTACTACAAGCCATTATTATATAATTATATTAATATGCTCTTTAACTGAAAAAGATAATGTAAATATTTTTTTTATTTTTGCAAAATGCATTATGTACAAAGTGTTGATCATCACGAGTGTAAGCATTTGCATGTATGACAAACAAATTTTGCACAACCCGAATATCTGGAATGTATATCAATTATCAAGCCTTATTGTTGTATAGCAAAAATTATAAAACAGAAATTGGGAGGGAAACACTTTCTGACAATCATTCCATCCAAAAATTCAGCAAAAAGTAAAATACATTTAACAGAGGAGCTTACTGACAAAACACTTAATTGCCAATCCGCCACTCAATGATACAAAATTTTATATGAATGACGTTGATCGGCACATTTCAACTCTAATTTTATCCTACATAAGTCATGCTTAATGCAACCATAATTTACCAATTAATAATGACAAATGTGAATATGTCACAAAAAAAAATTTTTTTTCGTTTGCTATAAAATTTAAAGAGTTTACTTTGGGGAAAGTCAATATTCCAGCTCATATTTTAGGTAACTTTACACCAAGGTTTTTTTGTACTATTATATAATATATGTTATATTCTTGCTTATATTAACAAAATAATATTTAAAAAAAAAAATAAAATAAAAAATTTTTTTCTTTTTTTTTTTGGCAATGTTTTAGTTTTACCAGTTATATAAAACTTTACCTAAGTAATGTAACACCTTTTTTAATGTATTTTTAGGGTATTTATATTACAACAAAACGTTTTCAAATTTGTGCAAACACCATTCAGAAGCAATAGTATTTAATATAAAAATGTCTGACGAGATTAATTATTGATCATTTTGTATCACTGAGTGGTGAATCAGCAATTAAAAATAAACACAAAAATGGAGTTAACGTACAATTTTACAGAATATAGGTATAGGTTTCTTAAGGAAAGTAAGGAATTATCACAGGTCGAAAAGTGAAAAATCAGGCACCAATCAGTCACCAATCAGGTACCTGTGACTGATTGATGCCTGATTTTTCATTTTTCGACCTGTGTATTTTAGGCTAGCTCCAAAGTTTCAGAGTTTACAAGGAAGAGAACTTTGAGTGGCAGTGAGCTTAATAGAGTGGAAGATACATTTCTGGAGTTGATAAGACAAGAGGTCATGCACAAAAAAATAAGTATAAAAGACATAATATTAAAGTGTGCTGGTATGTCTTATGAAGTCTATAGAGAAGAAATGAAAAGACTTTCAAGAGAAGTTTTGGAACTTTGATGTTGGCTGCAGGAGAAGCAGCAGCAAAACAGAGAANCCATTAGATTCGTCTTGCTGAGACGATTCCAATGAGCTATATTTCATTCTTTTCTGATCACTGGATCAAAAGTTAGCAAACTGCCTGATTGGTAACGGTATTTGGCGAAAATGCCAATCAGGCACCAATCAGTCACCAATCAGGTACCTGTGACTGATTGATGCCTGATTTTTCATTTTTCGACCTGTGTATTTTAGGCTAGCTCCAAAGTTTCAGAGTTTACAAGGAAGAGAACTTTGAGTGGCAGTGAGCTTAATAGAGTGGAAGATACATTTCTGGAGTTGATAAGACAAGAGGTCATGCACAAAAAAATAAGTATAAAAGACATAATATTAAAGTGTGCTGGTATGTCTTATGAAGTCTATAGAGAAGAAATGAAAAGACTTTCAAGAGAAGTTTTGGAACTTTGATGTTGGCTGCAGGAGAAGCAGCAGCAAAACAGAGAAATGTCACATGATGTGATTAAAAAGTTAAAGAGACTGAAAAGAGAGAACAAATAATATTGGAGAAAATGAGAAAATTAGAAAAGTATCTCAAGAAGTTGAATCAATGAGGTTGGAGCTTAAAAAGGCAAAGTCAGGTGCCAAAAATTACAATAAAGAGGAAAGGCACAAATAGACAAAAAGGTGTGACTGAAATTCTGGTTGATCAACTGCCAATCGAAAAAATTGAGACGTCATTGTACAAGGAGACATACTTGTGTATGACATTCCAGCATGGTGTAAAGAGGATCAAATTATCAAGGTTTTTAAAATCTTGGGTCTAGTCAGAAAGATTTCTATCAAGAATCAGTTCAAGTATAAATCGGCTAAGATTTTGATGCACTACTTAAAGCTGAAGCAAGATAAGGCAGAATGGAAAAGTAGGCATAGTATAAATTTGATGATGGATGATAAAATGTATTGGTTCCGTTGGTTTCCAGCTTCCATGAAATTATCAGAAATTAGGGACAGGTTCAAGTTTGTGGCCTATAAAGAGATTAAGGAAGATTTGAGAACCACCTTGGACATGGATATTTTAGAGTATTATAAATATCAAGGATGGTTTTACACTAAAATTATTTTTATCAAAGGAAAAAAATTTATATATGCTTATTTTGCTAATCAGGATAAGTTAGAATAAGCTGTAGTTAATAGTTTAGGTATGGGATTACACGATGTCTGGATTATTCCACAAAAGAAAAAAAATTTTAATACTTTTATTTCAAGTGGGAGCGTAAATCCAGATCACTTGACAGAAAATGTTGATGTTGGAACATCTTCAAGTAAAGAAAGTAATGAGGGGAGTGGTTCTACTCTTAAATACATGGAAAAAGATGTGAAGGCGATTGTGGCAAGGGCAATTGAAGAACAGATCAAGGAGAAAGAAATGATTAAAGAAAATGTTAATCAAAGTGTAAGAGAAGTATGCAAAATGATGGGTTTGAAATTAGGTGACATTGATTTCAGTATTAGTGATGTAAATAAAGATAGACAAACGGAAGTTTTGTTCAAAGAAATACAAAAAAGCTAATGCTAAGGAAAAAATTTCAAGTTCTTCAACGGTAATGACGAGTGTGGATGAGGAAGAAATAGTAGAATTAGTGAATAGATATAGAAAGGGTGCGTTACCAGCTCGTAGTTTAGAAAAAGGGTTGGGGTGCTTGATGTGATTAAGGATTTAAGGAAGGAAAAAAAGACTGGAGAGGTGCCAGTTTCCAAAGAGGAGGTGGAGTTATATAATAAGGTAAATCAAGCTTGTTCATGACGTTTATCACCAGAAATTAAAAAAGAAGAAATTTCAGTTGATGAAAAAGTTGGACATAAGCGATATAACAAGGAAGAGTTGAGTAGAGGGTAGTTAGTAGTAATGGTACTGACGCAGAAAGTGGATTAGAAACAACGCTTACAGCAGTGGCGAAAAAAGATAAATCCGCTCAAAGAGGGAAAAGTAAAAAAAGTGGAAAATCGAAGAAAAAGAATAAGAAGGGGAGGCAACTTTGTTAGTGAAGTATCTACTGTTAATGATGGTAAGTATTAGCGTAGATTTTAATTAAAAATATCAAATTAAAATTATAAATAGCTAGTACTGTGGGTAATTTGTAGTTAGTTTAATTTTAGTTTATTTTCGTTTTCATTAATTGTTTCTTTTAGGGTAGATACTTTATTAGCAGATGCATGTCGTCTAAATTGTAACAAATTACTTCGTAATAATTGTTATAATATTAATAAAGTTAAAAAAAAAAAATAAAAATAAAAATAAAACAGAAATTTTCTTAATACTTAAGGTTAACATTAACTGTTGTTACTGCATATTTACCAATTTAATCAATTTGCAATAAACAGATTCGGGTCAAAATGTTTCAAAAATTTCATAAATTTTATCAATTAATGGCTTGTCGTTTATAATTGTTATTCCATAAGTATCAATGAATAACCGAAATATTCACCGATACCTTGGGGTCCCGAAGTGAGGGGAGCATTGGTGCATATGGAGTATTTATTAGATATCCATGGAATAACAGGCTTATCTCGGTGTATGACAAATACACCGATGGATTTCTACTGGTGGAGTAATTTACAAAAAAATCCATCGGTGTTTCCATAGATGAAATCTTGCGAGAAGATTAGAATAGGATAGGTGGCAAGAGTTACACAAAAAAATTCGATGTCTTTATGCAATAAAAATCCGAAATATGAACATTTTTTTACCAATATGCGCACATAAGTTAAAAAAATATAAGTCCGATAAGATTAAAACTTTATTAATGATTTTTCAGATACTGTACAATAGCGAATCAGAAAGTGATAGAGGTAGCAAGAGAAACATTATGATGCTATCAAAGAGGGAGAGAATACACAGATCCTAGGCCATTTAATGCGGGTGCCACATCACGCTTATTTCTTTGCTCTCTCACATTTCCAGTAATATCTATAGCTAATAAAATTATTCCTCTATCTATATGCTACGTTAATATGATTACATCACAAAAATCTGATCAACGGATTCACTTAAAATTATAATAAAACGCTACAAATATACAAAGATCTTTCATGTAGGATGCGATTTATTTTATCCAAGTGGGACTTTAGGTCTCACTTTTTTATTCACCATACATCTCTATTTCACGCTTGATACTATATATAGCCTTTTCGGCCGAATTCTTTATTGATGTAGTAAATAATTACATGATTCAGTTTGTAATGGCCCGTCAGCAAAACTTGCAAGAAAAATTTTTATTAATACATGCGAAAAATATCAATACAAAGCTGGGGACTGTGCCTATGATCCATGACGACTTTCCCTATGCTAATGCCCTAATTTCTGAAATATTAACTCAAGACACGTCCTAATTATCTATTTTGACTCGCTTTCCATCACCTAATGATGATTTTTGCTGATTAAAAACCCACTAACCCATTTGATTTGCCCATATAATTTCTCGATAGGTCTGACTAGTTCATCGCGAAATAATGATGGGTAGTTGATAGGTAGAGGTGTAGGAGTAGGCGAACACAAAAAACTTCGACCTCTCATCACTATTATCATTCCCATCTCCAATACCATTTTGAACTTTCGTTATTACCCAGTCAACTCTTGAAATATCAAATAAAAGAGTTAGTAATAATCGCTGTGATTTTGATCTAGTAGTAATTCAGGTCATTTTTCGAATTTGTTTTACAAGCACACCCGTTGAGACATTGCATCTTCATACAAATCAGCATCATCATAAGTACGTTTTTGCGATTGCATTGTAAAGATGCATGTGCTTGGACAGTGCTCTGGGCAACACCTTGGTTAATATCTTCTCGTTTTGCTTCAGTTACAGAAATAATTGTGTCACCCATTTTGATCACTCAATGGGTCCTTTCCATGACTTCCGGAGACTTCATACTGGGGATAAACCTTTACAGTAACATCAAAGATGGACGTCACGTTATATATAATCGCGGAAACGCGCTAGTGATGGTGGGATGCCTTATGCATTCTTAAAAATTCCTCAATCACACTGTTCCTGATCTCTTCTGGAGCTGATGAACTTCCAATCTCAATACATGGTAATTGATCATAGCCATCAGCCTTCAAACCGAAAAGAAACTTCATCTTGGGGAAAGTGTACTAAGAGAAAGGTTGTTGCGCTATAAAACAGCCAAAGGCGCCATGCATAAATTAACGGATCAGACAATTGATGGAATTGACACATGAAATATCCTAAATACATTATTGCTATATTGCTAGTACTTACACATATACACAACTATTTCCAGATCCACCTTGGGTTAGTAGTCCAAATAATGCTCAATAAACCCTCGTTAGAAGAAAATTGAATAACTTTACGCTCTGTCACAATCTCCACCATACCGTTGCATTCTGGGAACTTGAACTTATCTGGTCTAATTTCTTACGCATTTTACCTGTTGAAATCTTTCTCTTCAAGCCAGCGCCACTTATTACACGACCTATTACGATATGCTCATTTTTTGTCCTATCTGGAAACATTAAATATTCACAAAGCTTCTTCTTAAAACCTTCCAACGTCTCCATTTCTTGGGTCACTGACCACTGAAACTTTTTACATTACGCCCATACGTTGCGGTGCAGTGAAATTCTTTCGTTTAAACAGGATGCTGTGCGATTATATTTATGTGTTCGTCGGCTGGTTGATAGGGAAAATGTTTGCTAACTTTCGAAAGTGAAGGCAATTCCACACCTTCAAGTTCGTCCTTAACATTGACATTAATTTTTGTATTATTTTTTTTTTTTTAAAAAAAAAAAAGAAAAAAAATTTTATTGACAAGGTTAAGTTTTTTGTTTTCTTCTTCGAGGGAAATGACGACCTTTCATAGCTTAATGTCATTAGGGGAAACGTTCTCAAACTTAGGGTGAGGCTTTTCCTTGATAGCTTCCCTGAAAAAATTAACCGCTTCCGTCTTATTGACTTTTACGATGAAAGCATTTTCATAAGGGTTCTAACTTCTAAGGGTAAAGCCGGAGTGAGATAAAATTTATTCTGGGAAGCGTTAATATAAAGTTTTTATGTCGCACAGGCTGACAGGCATTGCATTATTTCATGTGACTTTCTTCCACAGATAAAAAAAATTCTAATTAGTAAATTTTTTTGACTATAAATTTTACTGTTAGAATGTGATTTTTTTTTACCGTCAAAAAGTTATATTTTGCTTGATTTGTATTAAATTCATTAAAAATGAATGGTTTTATTTTTATTAGGCGCAAAAGATCCTATCCCAATAAAATTTTTAATTCGATAATATAAGGAACGGATCGACTTTTTTTTACAGGACTATTTATATGTTTTTTTAACTTTCAAGTATCAACAACTAAATTACAAATACATGAACAAACTCTGATGATTTTAATGAGAACAGAAAAATAAAATTGGCATGAACCATTTGACAAATTTTTTTTTATCCAAAACTTATCTATGACAGTACTATCGTACAATTAAGGAATTCTAATCCTGAATAAAGATGTTTGATTCCAGGAATAAGACATATTTGATAATTACTTGTGCAGGGAATATAAAAGTATATTCCTATTCGTAAAATGAATGATATTTATTTTTTGATTCATCTGCTAAGTGTGAAATAATTACATTTAATAATGTTTTCTCATTTCCCGAGTTTAATTGATGCTAAGGATTTTTTCATAAAATTTGGAATAATAATTTCACAATAAATTCTTTTTATCATAATGTAATTCTTCAATTATCAAATAAATAACATCTCTATTTATTTTTGATATTTTTTTTTTTCTTTTTATTAAAAAAAAAAGTTGAATATTTCTTGTTAAAGTACGCAAACGTATATATTTGTGAAATTGAAGTAGCAATTACGTGCCAAATCATCACGTGAATTAATCTCATCAGAAATCACGATTTACGAATCATTTTATAAAGGTTATTAAACAATTATGCAGTATAATACTTGAAAATTTAAATTTCCTCGTATTATGATAATTATATTGACAGATGAATGTTTATAACAAATATAAATATATAAATACACATAAAAATGTCATTAATAAATATCATTTAGTTTACAATTTTTAGACGTTCGGGCTTTTACTTTTTACTTTCAAATAACAAATTTCACAATAAAATATAAAATAAAATCTGCAAAATATTTAATTTATCGAATCATCAGCATTGTTTTCGTCACAAGTATCTATTAATGTCAAAATCATTAGTATCTAATTAAAGATGTTCAAACGTAAGTTATATATACGCATCATGTTAGAAATTTCTAAGTCAGAATCATGAACTATCAATACACAAAATTAGTTTAATATTCTTCTCATATGAAGTTGAGATGTTTGGTATTTCTTTATCAGCTTCATCAAATGCTGCTTTAATTTCTTTTCCTTTATAACCAAATTCTTCTTTTTATCATTCTTATCTTTAATAGAATCATACCAAAACTCAATTGTATCAAATAACTTAAGTTATTTAAGAGAATATTTCTCAAATTCCCTCTATCAGCAAATTCTATAATCATCATAAAATCTTTAGTTTCGGTCTTTAGTTAATCCATAAATCCCTAATTCTTCTTCTCTTACAGATAAATAGAAATGCATTTTAAGCTATAGAGTATTCACAATAAATTTGTCAACATATACCGATATACAATATTTTACTATGTTAATAAACTTATTATACATTAATTATTTAAATTTATCAATTTATTTGTTATAATAATTTAAAACCAGACGATTAATTGTAATTATAAAGCATTAAAAGACAATACTTCGCATAGATATTATTCGACCTTTTACTCCTTCCGAACAAACTTAGGATTCTTTAAATAACTACAACCGCTGTTTCTGTCAGTGAGCTTCTACAGGCAAATCATTCGAAGGACTAACAACCGTAACACTAGAAGCGCAAGCTATTTTTATACTATACCCAAAAAGTTTAGGAATAATTTGAAATTAACATACGCGAACTAATTGTGTTATTGCTATTAGGGTTACATTCAATACCAGCAGGATGACACCCATGAGTTTTTCAACATATATAAGGAATAAAGATACTATTAGAAAAAAAAAAAATAATAAACAAATGGGAGGTATCATCCAAACACGGAGAAAAGAGATAAGAAATGACCGCGTACGAAATAATACAATTTTCTTTTATACAAATTAAATTGCGGTTCATTTAGAAAGTAACATTTCAGATACCTGATACATTAAATAAAATAGTAACTTTCTTTATTATGCATTGTGTTATACAATAAATAGTATTTCATATTTTGAAATATTAAATACCGAAAAAAATTAGTTAATACAAGATGTAACAGGACTTGGAGGGTGAACAGGTTTCTCATTTTCTTTACGATTACGTTTTGATTGACAAGACTGTACATGTCTTGATAAATGTCCATGTCGAGTGAAGCTCTTCGTACATCCATTAATTGGACAATTAAAAGGTTTTTGCCATGAAGAATTAGGATGTGAAGTTGTAGAATCGGTAAAAATATATGTTGCAATTGTACGAGACGATGGGGATGATGAATTATTTCCTTCATTTTGAACTTGATCATGGATATAAAGAGTTGTCAAATTTTTAAAAGAAACAGCAATCATCTTTTTATTTCGGTGATCTCTCTTCTTAAACGCTTTATCATGAGTTCTTTTATGTCTCGTCAATTCGTCGGATCTGGAGAATCTTTTGGAACATCCGTTCCAAGTACATTTATGGGGTTTTTCTCCAGTGTGAGTTCGGATATGTCGGTTTAAATGTTCCAGTCTGTTGAATTCACGAGTGCAATCTTGGCATTTATGAGTTTTAGGATTTCGGGATTTTGTTGGAGACCTATTATTTTGATCGCCTACTTTCGACACGATTGTTTCATCTGTTGGACCATTTATTAATTTAGCGAGGTCGTTAGACATTACGTAAGAAAAAGATTTTAGGAAAGTAACGGGTTGGAAAGGATTCGATGGAAGAAAAGGAGGGTAAATAATTAATAAAGTGTTGTTTTAAAAAAGATTTGGTAGATTTATATAAAAAAAAAAAATTTTTTTTTTTTTATTTTTCATATTTGTAACTCAAATTCTTATCTTATCTCGAAAACAGTTAGTCTATATATTATTGTTATTGTGATATTTATACAGTAAAAATAGACACTTTAATTTGTAAATCATCATTGAATCTTGGCAATTGTCATATGCTTTAGATTGATTGGCAAGATTTTCCCATGGAAAAAAAATAATTCCATTATATCGGTAAATATTGTCGGATTCAAGTAATCACATGTTATTTGACTATAATAAATTTATTATAGTATGTTCGGCTAGCATATGATTACGCAAATTCGCCGTTAAATAGATCGTTATAAGACGACTATTTTTTTTTAAATAAGAGAATTATATTTAGTCAAATTAGAACAATAAAAAATAATTTTTAATAAAAAAATCAAAAAATTTAGGTAGTTAAATTTGGGATGAAAAATTTTATTTAATATTAATAATTAGTAAGTAATGAATTATGTTAAATCGCTTTCGTATAACATTTATTTCCGCTCCGGATTACTATTTTTTTTAAAGAATAAAAGTTTTCCATTTTTCTCTATATTTTTTTGGAGGAAAAATTAAATGTGATTATTTTTAATTTGATGAAAATTTTAAATTTTGAATTGGAAATACATCAACAGGCCTCCTGGAGCTGGTTCACCTGGAACTTGAACATTTACTTCATATATAAAAATTATAAAAATAATAAAAATTAAAATGAGTTTTTTTCATCATTATTAGAGAAATTACTCTACAACGATTTATTTAAGCATGAAGTTATAAATTTGTTCATATTTAAATATATTTTATTACTCCTATTTTCGTGTAATACCAATATTGCATTACTACGTAGCGCCTTTTTCATAGTGAAGACAAATTAGTACAATAAACTTCAGAAAAATAATTTATATTATTAGTATTTGATTGATTTCATAAAATTTTTTTAAAATCAAGTCTATTTTCTTAGTATTCTTACTAATTCATTTCTTAGGATAGAATATTTTGCAACCCACAATGATTCACCAAGCATCACAATGAATCTGCATTGTCAAACGGCAAGAAAAGACAAAATGCAAAGAAATATTGACTTTGATAATCAAAAAATGATGAACGAATAAAGTAAATCATTTTTTAAGAGATAGAATCAATGAAGGATCAAATAAGTACAATCAAACCCATCCATTTTTCATTACAATTATTAAATAATAATACCTCGTTATACCGATATCATTTATCACCGATGTAGCCGCATCATGAATTATACCGGTTAAGTCACATGACTCCTATTACCTTGTGACATCGGCTTTTTAAAAATCAAGAAAGGTACTATTTTCGCGTTTATTATAAATCACAATGTCTCAGCCACACATAAAAAAGAAAAAGAGCTATTTTAACATATGTGCAGAAGCGCTAACTCTGAATTATCAAAAATCATCACGACCTACCTAAGAAGTACTTATATACAGTCAAGCAAAATACTGTTTCTGATAATTTTTCAAAAAAATATAAATGGTTGCTTATAGATCCTAATTCAGAAGAGGCGAATAAACAAATTTATTTTATATACAATATTTTTTCAGAACCATCACTTTCTTGACGATGTATATGTTTTACAACTGGTCGTCATGAACAAGTCGTACAAAAAGAGTTTGTTTTGCGTACCAATATTAATTCAACATTTTATATTGATATTTCTATTAATATGGTATATTTCTATTTTACTTGTAATTTTCTATTTAAAAGAAAATTGATTTTAGTAACTCATCATTATTTATTTATTTATTTATAGCAAATAGATTATGTTCGAAAGGGGTATAATGGAAATAAGATAACTTATATTCCTAACATAGGCGATTAATTACCAAATTTTCATAAATTTTATCTAAATGTTCCAGAAATTTTTAAAGATAAATATTCTTCAAGAAAAGAAATGGAAAACTTGCTTGAGCTGAAAGATATAATTAACCACCTATGACTGTTTTTTTTTTAAATTAATAATGTTTCATTTTATTCATTTGCTTTCATTTGTAATATTTTGAAATTAATAAATTCACTTTACTTATTATAAAAAAAACTTCAATTTAAAATAATTAAACTAATATTTTAAATGTTAGACAGCACGGACCTTGACCCAAACCTAGAAGGTGAAAGAACGAAAAAAAAACAGTAAGAAAAAAATATTGTTAAAATAAAAATCAAAGGTACTTACAGCACCATAGCATCTATCGGGTAAAAGAATGAAAAAAAAAATATTAGCAAAAAATAGATATAGAAAAAAAATTATTATTGAAATGAGGATTGAAAAAAAGGCTTACCAAGACGCCACAATATCAATCCGATCACTGATTTAGATTAAGTCTAAAAAAAAGAATAATTAATAATGTACTCATATAACAATAATAGAAAAATACAGTATATAAAATTAAATGAAAAAAATTATACAAGAAAAAAAAAAATATCAAAAAAATTGGTTTAAAAAAAAACCAAATAGAAAAGAAAATTAAAAGAAAAATTTTCAGTTTTAAAAACCAAACCGAAATAAAAATTGAAAAAAAAATTAAAAAAATTTCAGTTTTAAAGTTTTTAAAAAAAAAGCCGAAAAAATAAATTCGACAGAAAGACCAAACTGAAAAAAGAAGGAATATATAATTAGTTGTTTCTGTATGAAACTCACTCTATCGTGTATTAATAGATTAATCTATAAATAGTCTCTAATTTTGTAAGTAATGAATTAAAAGGTTGCATTCCGCGATGATATATAAGAAATAAATACAATTTACTTTCGTTTCTAAATATTATTTTCATTTCATGTTTTGATAAACTTTGGAATATACAACGTTTATTTATTCATTTTATAAAAGAAATTTGAATAAAAAATTATTATGAAAAATTCTTACATTTTATTTTCATTGTAGAGTTAAGTATTTTATTCTTTTAATAAACAACATGTAGAAAAAAAAATTCAAGATCTTAAAATAACAATACTCGATCATGAATCTGTTATATTTCAAAACTTTTATCATAAATACAGTATAACCATAATAATAATGTTAAACTTTTTTCATTTCCAAACCTTTTATTATACAAAAAATACTGTATGTTTCTAAAATAAGCACTTTTGTTTCAATAAATTTAATCTTATAATACTGACTTGAATTTAAACCGTATTTGTATAATTTCGGAGTAAAATTCTTTTAATTATTTTTCGTTCAATTATTTCATTGCTTCTTGGATGGATTAACTTCTCTTTTATTATCTTTTGTTAATTCATTTTATTTATTGTTGATCATGTGTTATTTCTGTTGTACAGGTTGCACAGGTGTACAAATTGCACAAACTCGAAATTTATGCACAACATATATTTGCAGTTAAAACTGTACTACTGTCTTACAACTTTCTCATTTTCAAAATTTCAAAGACTTTTTTTTTTCACAAAATTACAAAATTAAAAGACCATATTATGAATGATATTCGACAAGAAGTTGTTTGGGCTGCTTTTAATAAAGCATATTCATTATCAGATCCCACTATAAATGATTTGGATAAACAATTTGAATTTAGAAAAAAAATTGCTCTTGCTGATGAATCTCTTACAGAGGATGAAAAATCAGTAATAATAAAATTATTTAATGAAGAATATGATACTCGTAAAATTATAGATAATAAAGGAACAAAAAGAATTTGTGAAAATTGTCAAAATGAATGTTTAGCAACATTACGTTGTGAACATTGTATTCGAAATTATTTAAAAGAAGATTTTTCAAACTGGACATCTGGAAATAATGATATTGATAATTTAATACAAAAATGTCAAATGGAAACATTTCAACCGGATAGAATACTTGAATGGATTCCATATAATAATTTACAAAATGTTAAATATTTAACTAAAGGTGGATGTTCTAAAATTTATATATCGACGGAGAATATTTTGAATGGGATTCTGAAGAAAAGCAATTAACAAGATATGGAGACCAATATGTAATACTTAAAGAGTTAGAGAATGTCAAAAGTACTAATGAAAGTTGGTTTGAAGAGGTATGTAATTAAAAAATATTTTGTATCATTGTTTTTGAAATTTGTTGACGATTTTTATATAAATTTTTTAGAGCAAAGCTCATTTAACTATAATAACAAATGGGCAGATTTAGTACAATGTTATGGTTTAACGAAAAATTCATCAAGTGGAAATTATATGCTTGTAATGAATAAAATGGAAATGGATTTAAGAACATATCTAAAGCAAAGTTATAATAATCTTATATGAAAAGAAAGGATACAAATTGTTTATGACATAATAGATGGGATTTACAGCGTTCATGGTGAAAATGTAATTCATAGAGATTTGCATTCTGGAAATATATTGTATGATAAAATTAGCCAAACTTTCTATATTAGTGATCTTGGATTTTGTGGACCTGTTGATAAACCACTAAATAGTGTATATGGAAATCTTCCTTATATAGCACCAGAAGTAATTATTGGAAAAAAAGGCACTTATGTATCTGATATTTATAGTATTGGTATACTTATGTGGGAAATTTCATCTGGACAACTACCTTTTATTAATTATGAGCATAATTATGACCTTGCAATGAAAATAATAAACGGAATGAGACCAAAAATAGTACCAGGAACTCCTTTAGAATATAAGAAATTAATGGAACAGTGTTGGGATGCTGATTCAACAAAGAGACCTAATGCTTGTACATTAAGAATAGAAGTACACAAGTTATTATTAAAATTTCAAAACTATCAAGATGATAGCCAAAAACAAATAATTTCCGATCAACTTCAGCAATTAAGTAATTCAACTGATCAAACGAACATAAATTATACTAGTAAAATTTATCAATTTGAAAATTTTCCTGAACCAAAAAATGCAACAGAAGGTAGTAATATCACTTTGTAATATATTATAATATTATATTTAATAATATATTAACATTCATAATTTTCAATTAAATAAAAATACAAAATAGAAGAACAAGAAGGTATATACAATAATTTATTAATATTTAATATTTAATTTTATTTTAAATACTGTATATATGTGATATATAATTTTATAGCATTCCAAAGTAAACCTTATAGTTTGAACATTCCTAATAATGGTGGGTATTCTTAGCTTTAAATTAATATATAATTAATTTAATTTTATTTATTTATTTTTTATTTTTAGTTGATGTAAATAATGAGAAAAATGGTAACACAGAATCAAGTAAATATAAAGGTAATTACTTATTATTAAATTTGATATTATTTTAAAATAAATTAACTAACTTTTATTATATTAAATTTTGTATTTGACAAATTAGAAATCAATTCAAATTATAGTAAGTGAATCATATTAATCTAAATTATAGTGTTATTTATTTTAATAAAATAAACTTTTTTTTAGTTATGCAAGATGATCATAAAAAACAACAAACAAAAAAGCATAGTTTGGATATAAATGGTATATTATTTTTTTTAGTATTTTATAAGTAATAGTGGAGAATAATAATTTATAATTTTTGTTTTTTGCTTTACTATAGATGATGATGAAAAGCAAGATGAATTAAAAATTTCTGATAATGTATCTAAAAAAATTAAGACATCTTAAAAATTTATTAAGTATTATTTTTCAAACTTTTTTTTATATTATGCAATATTTATAAATATTCAATTAATTAAACACTAAGACTTAGAGTAGCAAAATAACTTTCAATAATAACTTGTAGTTTGAATAAGCGTTGTAATTATTATTGTTGCAATAATTATAATTTTATTTTGAAATTTGTCATAAAATAAAATAGGATGAATATCTTGGTCCTTTGTGAATTATAAGGTAATATGTAAACGTTCAGATTTATTGTTCTAGTAAAAACCATGTGATTGGACAATCTACAATCACGTTGCAACTTAGTAATTTTACCGAGAACTAATATAGCGGAATTTTTGAAATATTTAGTAAACGAAACTGGGTTTTCCCACGACTGATGGTCTACTTAACTCGGGTATTTTTTGGTCCAATGGTGTGTTCCACCTTACCCTAACAGCTAGTTCATCTTTTTTTTAATTTTGTAGCACACTTCTTTATTAAATATATGGGTAACCTATTTAATTACAGAAATACCTAGAGGCATTCGTACAAGTACGAATGATCTTATAACAAAATGATCTATCTACTAGGGTACCTAACTAAACTATCTGACGTTCTCGCACTCTAATACATAAATCTATCTAAAACTATCTAATAGTAAGATCACAAATAATTTCTATTGTATGGAAACGTGTTATATACCAAACAAAATTATTGCATTCAGTTTCACTTGTCCAGTAATATCCCCTATCCATGGAAAAGTTAGCTGCGGAATGCGGATCGTACATAAAGCTTGATTACCTATAACCCTACTTAACCTACAGAACTCCTATGTTGAGCTAAAAGCGAGTCGATTACAATAGTACGGTTGGATCGCCCAGTCCAGTATCCCAGACCACTAGGAAAACTTTACTTTTTCTCGAAAACTTTTTTACGTGTAAACACGTTACTTGAGAATAGGGATCCTAGCAACATCTCCAATCTCCCAGAGTGCGGAAAAACAACTACACGTGACTTGCATAATTTTCTGCGGTGGATTAGGCTGGAAAGTCTCGATATTCGTGAACTCCTTCTGATTTATTTTAATTTTTGACGTTTCGTTCACCCCCTAGTGTCGAATTAACTATGAATTTTGTTGACTCCTAACGTCTAATAAATCTCGTTTAACCCCTATATCTAATTATCATGACGGCTATCGGCTAAAAGTTTTACCATTTTTTTTTGTAGCCATATTTTGTACCACCTCAAATCAATTCATATATCGTGAATTTAATTTGTTCCTTCGGAAAGCCTCTATTACCATTTTGCGATCCAGTCGCGTACTAAAATTGTTGCTGTGCCAGCCGGAACACTGAAGCAATAAAAAATTCTCAAGAATCTGAAAGGTCAAAGAGCAAAAATATAGACGTCCCCTATAAAAAGTGTATGTTTTGTCGAAGAGCGCTTTTTGGTTCGTCTCTGCTAGCCAAGGAAGAGAAAAATTTTTGTTTCCGTCAAAAACATTGTGAAATCGTAGCGAGGATAAAAACTATATCCAGGTGTTCCTGCCTAAGAGAGTGAATAATCCGTTAGTTATGGTGAAATGCGCTAAAACAAATTTTTCTATATACACTTTTTGAACTTCCACCATTTGTTCCGTCCTAAAATTTGTGAACATGATGATCAGTGGAAAGAGTTCCATTCAACAGCTAGTTCATCTGTTTCGGGTCCGGTTAAGTCAAAAATAATAAACTAATGTTCTCTTAAATACTTTTTTATAATTTTGTTGCAATGATATAATCTTCCACATACTGATGTACAATTTTAGAAATATCTTCGGTTGAACCACCATTGAATAAACATAAATGTGTCGCATTTTTACGAATAACCTTTGGTACACACTAATATTTTTGCGTAACATAAATTGGTGAAATATTGTTATGACGTCCACTTAAAAAGAACGGTATTATTTGTCTCTGTACAAATGGAGTATCGGAACAAAGATCTTCAAATATAATCGCTATACTCCTTTTAGGAGAAAATTCATTTATATGTGGGATCCTATAAGTGTGATCTCTTACTAAATGTTACATCCTCATAGTACGGAGTAAATGGTTTATTCGAAATATAATTACTAGGTTTGTATGAAATGTAATTGAATGTCTCTTCTACAAGCGATCATTTCGGTTTATTTAGATGGTGGCCTACCATTATAACGTCATTGCATCTCATATATCTTGTTCCATCGTTTTCCTTCTCCCATAATCGAAGTAGTTTATATCCAAGGAAAAGATTAACAAGCATGTTAGTTTTACCTGAGTTACTCAATCCTGTCACTATCATGCGAAATGGTCACGATAAAGCAAATAGATTATCTTGACAATAATTTGAGGATTTTATTTAAAGCTTTTATTGTTTAAAATCTTTTTTCCGTTTTTTTTTTAGAAAGACATATTTTTATATTTTTTTTATTTTTGTTATTAAAAGTAAATGAAAAGAAAATCGCTTAGCCAAAGTGACTTACAAATACATAATTAAATAAATATATATATATATAATTATGTATAACAATTCACTTTTGATTTTTTTTAACGTTACAAACTTGTACGTTACACACATTCATTAATACACATATACAATTGTATATAGAAGAGATTATTGTACGATAAGAGGTTTAATAGGTACAATATTTATTATATTAATTCTTTACATGTCCTGCTTTAGGCAAGAAAAAGAAAAAATATTCTTAAAAAAATTCGTTAATTAAATAAAAATTCTTTTAAGTGAATATATAAATGAATATTTATTATTTTTTTTTAAAAAATTCTCTCTTATATAGTATTTATATACATATATACTTATCCCTTAAACTGTTTTGCAGCCAAATTTGCCTGCAATTTTGTTTTTTAATTAAAGCCACTTTTAAATACCTTAAAATATTTTATTACATAAACCAATATTTTTATAATAAATTCTATAGTATTTTCTAAATAAAAATCGAAAAAAAGTTCAATTTGATTAATGATTTTTTAAAAGTAAATGATCGACAAATTATAACAAATAGTAGCTAAATTTTTTAAATTGAAATATCTTTTTATCTATTAACCCTAGAAATATAAAATTACCACCATTTGATGCATCTTAATGAGAAGAATCTGATGGAAATAAAATTATCCTTTCACAAATATTATGTGACAGGATAACTTATAAAACCTAAAATTTTATGAATTAATATAACTTTTTATTTATCAATTTTAGAGTTATGATTTTATTACCATTAAATGCGCCTTAATAAGAGGAATCTAACAAATGTAATTTCATCTTTCTATGATCACTAGATCTTAAGATATTGTAAAAATTCAAAAATTTTTAAAATTAATTTAAGCCCCTACAGTTTAAGGGATATATACTATATTAAAATGTAAGTTTTAGGATTAATATGTAACATTGTAACATGGATGGATTAATGAGTCATATAAAAGAACATAAAATTATTACCTTTTTATATCAACGGATTTTTCGCTTATAAAAATTATTTTGATTTTTTTAAGTTGTTTACCTTTCTTAATCCAGTCTAATAAATAACTTTTATCGTACATGAATGAATGATTCACATCTCCATATAACATGAAAACCAAACTGGTTACGAAAGATGTCACTACCACAGCGAACGCTAATGTTCATTACGCCATTTTAGCACAAGATACAAAGTTAGTCAACGACCCCGACACCATTTTCCGAAGGACTCCTCCGGATAACGAATCACATAGTACCACGAGCAACGCATCCTATGTATCTGCCGCGGAGTCTATCTCGACAGTAATTTACCCGCCTACCCCGGCGTATGATTAAATACAACTATAGACCTTTCAAGGACACACTATTCTATACCTGACTGTATTTACGCATAGTACCTTGTTTTTTAGGTAAAAGAAAAATACGTATAACATAGTCACGTTTGAATTCTTTTTTTTCTATCTCTTCGGGTTTCTCTGTATTGTATAACTTATAAGTATATATAATTCAATTAAATCTTGTCAATTAACTAACAAAATTTTCTAATTCTAAATAATTACTAGTTCTAATTAATAATTTAAGATATTTTTGTATAATCTAAATAAATAATTCTTTTATTATCACCATAATCATGATTTACAGTATAACGAATAAACGAAATATAAATTCTAAAGTACGCAATTTTTTAAATTAAAAATCTTATTTTAGTAAAAAATCACTATGATATGAATGATTAATCTTTTTTATATTTACAGTTACAACAACTACAAAAAAGCAGGTGAAAAGGATTTTATCCAAACAATCAAGCGAGGATAATCTTACTTTGGGTGAACTTATTATTCTCGAAAAATTATTTAATTATGTTTAATTTCAAATATTAAATAAAGAACATCTATATTTAATTTTGACAATTTTTTCTTTTTATTTTTTATTTTTTATTTTATTAAAAAAATAAAGATGGAATATTTCTTAGTTAAAGTATGCAAACGTATATATTGGTTTTGTGATGTGAAATTGAAGTAGCGAAGTAGCGATTACGTGCCGATTCACGAATAAAATAACTGACTAAACAACATTTTATAAAAAGGTTATTAGACAACTTATATAGTATAATACTTAATAATCTAAATTTTCTCGTGATGTATTATGATACTGTAATTATATTGACAGATGAATGTTTATAACAAACATATATATATTATACATACACATGAAAATGTCATTAATAAAATATCATTTAGTTTACAGTTTTTAGACGTTCAGACTTCTACTTTTTACTTTCAAATAACAAATTTCACAATAAAACTATAAAATAAAATCTACAAAATATTTAATCTATCGAATCATCAGCATTATTTTCGTCACAAGTATCTATTAATGTCAAAAGCATCAGTATCTAATTAAAGATGTATATTTCAAACAGTAAGTTATATATACATACCTTCTAATTGCATTATGTTAGAAATTTCTAAGTCGACTAACTGAGGATCATGAACTATCGATATACAAAATTAGTTTAATAATTTTGATTATTAATAATTTAAAATATTAAACTTAGAAATACCTTCATCATTTTCTTCATTAATATATGAAGTAATAATAGATGAATTAACAGGTTTCGTTAATAGATTAGTGAAATTAAATGCTCTACTAGTATATACAGCATCAGAATTCCTTTCGTATAAAATAGAGATGTTTGGTATTTCTTTATCAGCTTCATCAAATGCTGCTTTAATTTCTTTTCCTTTATAACCAAATTCTTCTTTTTTATCATTTTTACCTTTAATAGAATCATACCAAAACTCAATTATATCAAATAATTCTTCAGCTGTCAGTCTTTCATTTGAATTAGCATTCATACATTTGTAAGCTAATTTTTTATAAAACTCTGGGGTTCCTTTTCCAAATTCTGGTCTGAGTCCATTACATATTGCTAATGCTAAATTTAAATTATGTTTTTTATTGTAAAAAGGTGGTTTTCCGGATGACAATTCAGCCATAACTACACCAAAGCTATAAATATCGGAAGATGATGTATATGATTCTCCATCCAAGACTTCTGGAGCAATATATGGCATTACTCCATATACTTTACCATCCGATTTTTGTTCATTTGCTGGTCCAGATAATCCAAAGTCTGAAATGTAAGAGTCAATACTATAATCATCTCGTTTATTTTGTAAGATATTTCCACTATGAAAATCTTTATGTAAATATCCTAACTTATGTAAATCTCTTAGGTCTATTAATGAATGATACAATAAATAAATTTTATCTTTCCACATTATATTGTTAAAGTTATTTAAGAGAATATTTCTCAAATTCCCTCTATCAGCAAATTCTATTATCATCATAAAATCTTTAGTTTCGGGGTCTTTAGTTAATCCATAAATCCCTAATCCTTCTTCTTTTTCTTCAGATAAATAAAAATGTATTTTAAGCTATAGAGTATTCACAATAAATTTAATAAATTTGTTAAAATAGAAGCATTATTAATAATTCTTAATATTAAAAAATAAAACCAAAACGAAAATAAATTAACTAGAAATAACATAGTATATAAAAACGTACTTCATTTAAATATTTGTCTGATATAGTTTGTGATCCATTTAACCTTTTCAAAGCAATTTTCATCTCAGGATTAGAATTAACCTTTCGCCAGCTTCCATAATAACTACTATATTCATATGTTGATTTCCCATCAATCCATGTTGCAGAATATACTTCTGCAAATCCACCTTCACCAATTTTTTTGATATCTGTAAATCTATCAAATGGTACCCATTCAAGAAATCTACTGACATAATAATATCTCTTTCTTGCATTATTATACATTGTATCTTTTATAAAGCTATCAATATCAGAATTTCCACTAGTCCATCCCTCCATTATTCTACATGGGTCACATTTTTTACACCATAAATTTTCAGTAAAAGGTTTATTGCAATATGAACAAATTTTGTGATTTGAGATATTTAATTTGTTATATTTGGTTTCCATTTAGATTATTTACAAAAGATATTTTATTTAGTGTATTTTATTTTTTTTTTTTGGCATCTTTTAAAACAAGGAGTTACTAAAATGGAATATTTTAACCAAAAATAGAAGTTAATCCGACCATTGAACATTTTTTATTGAAATACCTATTTCCGATACAATGATCTGCGTCAACTTTACAACCGTCATTCGAAAAAAAAGGCGTAATTTAAAAGCTTTATTTTATTTGAAATATAAATATAGTAAATAACACATAAATAATACTGACTAATACTAGGAAACAGAAACCGTTGTAAGAGGACCCAGAAATATATATACAGGGGTAGGGTACACAGATGCGTCGCCATCATAGTGGAATTAGACGGAGTAAAGTTTTGATTTGCGTACAATTTTAGAATTTTTCATCTATAGTTAGGTCATCAAGAT